AAAAAAAAAAAAAAAAAAAAAAAATGAGCCTATGGCCCAGGAGAGGAAGGCTTTGGCAGGCTTTTTGGCTGGCCCAGGACGTCTCAGCAGAGACAGCTGGGCTAGGGTGGGGTGGGTACATACCAGTATTGCCCCCCAGAATCCAGCAGGTACATCTCGTCTGTGGACAGCTTGCGGTACACCTCCTTGGTTGGGCTGAGAAGGGGAGAGAACTCTGAGAGAGGAGTAGGCTTGCCCTGCCCTAAGGTGGTGTGGGGTTCCTGAGTGAAAGGAGAGGAAGTCTCCCCTCTGCTGGGGGCTGGGCCTCCAGGCTAATTCCTCTGGAGAAATGATTATTTCCAAAGGGAGAGAGCCCAGAACATGGGATCTGGGAGGGCCATGGAGGACACCCAGCCCAGCCATTTCCCAGTGAAAAGCAGGCCTACGGAGGTAAAGGGCCTTGCTTGAGGCTGAGGCGCACAGCAGCGAGGAGCTCGGCTTGGACCTGGATGCTCCATCCAGCAGTAGTTCTCTAACTTCCTGTTGCCTCAGAGAGCAGAGGGCCCTGACAAGCCAGGGCACAGGAAGGGAGGGTACCTCGAGGGTGGAAAGCAAGGGCCCAGGAGTGCCTATTTTGCCTCTCTCCAGTCTAGTGGGAAGAAGGGCTGGGGAAAGGCAGCAAAGGTTTGGCAGACACTAGGGGAGGGAATTCTGGGATATGCCAGGCTTTCCCTCAGAGGGGCTACCAACTGCTCCCTGCTATGCCCATACCAGCCTGAGGTGCCTAGTCAGCTCGACCCCAGATTTCATCAGGCAGACCTGCAGGGGACTGTTTTTTATGAGGCCAAACCTCTGGCTGGCCTACACCTCAAGGCCACCATGGTTTGCTCAGGCTCAGTGAATAGGCCTCTCCCCATGTGTGCTTGTGAGATGCAGAATCAGCAAGACGAAGAATGGTCAGTGACTGAAGGGACAGCGTCCAACAGCCTCTCCACAGACCACTCAGCCCCGGGTGCTCATGAAGTCCTGGCCTCTTGGTGGACATTGCTCAGGCCTTCTCATTTCAAGGGGACTCTCAATCCCCAATGGCTCTCTTCCCTGCAGCCTCACTGTGCTAAGGGCCTCAAACCTTAAATGTGGACTCTGGTCCCAGCAACCCCATGCCTATCTTCTTGCATATACACCAGGATCCCCTCACTGGGCCCCAGAAAATTCTTTCTCCTGAAGTACCTGTAGTGGGCTAGGGCAGCGTTCAAACCGCTGGCCGAGATGGTTTCAAAACTGGGCCCAGAGGAGAACTCCTCTTCTCTGGAAAGTGCAAGACGAAGAATGGTCAGTGACTGAATGGGCCCAGGGACTAGGCTGGATGTAGGCTATGTAACCAGATCAAATGAAGGTCACAGCTGCCTCCACCTCAGCCAGGCTCGGGTGGCTCTCCCAGCCCCACCTCCTGGTCCCATCTCCCAAGCTCTGTCCTGTCAGTTATAGAGACTCAAGGTGGGATGGGGGCCTGTAGACCCCAATGACTCCCCTTTTGCCTCCGTTTTTCAGATGGGAATGGAGAAACCTAGCTCCCTGCTTCTGAAAGTGCCCCCAGCCCTGCATCCTGCACCTCACTTACTTCGCCCGGGGTGCAGCCCCCCTTGATATTCTTGAGTGGATATTCCTTGAGCTGCTTCCGCGAGGGAGAGCGAGCCTGTCCCGGGAACACATACTAGGCGGCGCTGTTGGGTTGCAACCCGTCAATGTCAAAGTTGCCAAGCTTTTAGTGGCACTGGGGGTTGCCATCTAACACTCGGGGTGCCTAGCTCCTTGACCACCCAAAAACCTGTCGCTCCTCATTCCACAGAGGTCCCCAAATACGAGGAAGATCATCCTAAGTAAGGAGACAGATTTTCCCTCCTTGTCCCCGCTCTACACTAAAAGCCTAAAAGGAAGCTCGCTGGCGGTCCTTCACCCTCGGAGCTTGTCCACGAGCTCGGCGCCTGAGAACTCGTTCACGGTGCCTTGGGGCACGTGCTTCTCCAGCCAGACCAAGTACCGGATCACCGCCACCGCGTCCCGCACCTGCAGTGGGGGAAGCAGAGGAGCAGGATGAGGACCAGATACTGCCACCAACTTCCCTTGGGATAAAGGCCATCAGATGGCCACTCTGTGATCAGGAATTTTAAAAACACAAGGGTTTGGGGCCCTCTGGTGGCATGGTGGTTAAGGTGCTGGACTTCCACATGGCTGACCGCAGTTCAAGTCCTGGAACTGGCTTGAAAATCATACTGGGCGTGTGTGTGTGTGTGTGTGTGTGTGTGTGTGTGTGCCTGTGCGCCCAAAATCTCAGGAGGAGAATGGAGAGGTAATTGCAGCGTCACCATCCCCCCTGGGGGATGAGTTCTCACTTTCCATCTCTGTCTCAGTCTCTCTCCAGCAAGTACATGTGCCCTGTGGCAAAAACCTTAAAAGGAAAAACAAAGGCCAGCAGATGGCATGGTGGTTATGCTGCTGGACTCCCACATAGCCAACCTCAGTTCGAGTCACAGACCGGGTGTCACACCAGGCACATGTGCATGCGTGCCCAAGATCCCAGGAGGAGAATGGAAGAGAAAAGGCTGCTGCATGGTCATCGCCCTGGGGGATGATTTTTACTTTCTCTCTCTCTCCCCCAGTGAGCACACACACCCTAGGGCAAAAACATCTAAAAAAAAATAAAAAAGGAAAAAGGGTGATGAAGACAAGGTGAATCATTATGCTAGCTTTTCTACCCTTCTGTATGTTTTAAATTTTTCATCAGAAAAATATTTTTGAGGGAGATTTTTACAATGGTATGTGTGTGTGCTCGCTGGAGAGACAGCAAGAGATGTAGAGAGAAAAAGTGAGAAATCACCCCCCAGGAGGATGGCCTCACTGCAATCTCTTCTCCTCCATTCTCCTCTCTGGATTTTAGGCATCCATGCACATGTGCCCAGTGTGAGTTTCAAGTCACTGGGTCTGGGACTTGAACCATGGCTTGCCATATGGGAGTCCAGCACCTTAATCACCATGCCACCTGCAGCCCCTCGCATCAGAAAACAAATATTTTTAATTTTTGCTATAGGGCACATACACTTGCTGGAGAGACAGAGAGAGACAGAGAGACAGAATATGAGAAATCATCCCCCAGGGGGTATGACCATGCCACAATCCCTTCTCCTCCATTTTCTTCTCAGGCTTTTGGGCATGCACGCACATGTGCCTGGCATGAGTTTTAAGCCTCTGGGTCAAAGACTTGAACTATGGTCGACTACATGGGAGTCTGGCAATGTAACCGTTATGCCATCTTCTGGTCCAAGAAAAGTTTTTTTTTTTTTTTAAATGAGATGACTTATCCTAATTTTAACAAGAAAATCCAAACAACGGTGAGCCATCCTTTTGCTAGGGTGTGGAAGTAATAGAACTAATACTTAATAGTTAGGATGTGCCAGGCATGCTCAAAACAATATGTACTGTGTATGTATATATTAAGTATAAATACACGCACACACACACACATACACACACACCATAATATATGTAACTAAATGTGGATGCACATTTATCTTCATTGAATCCTCACAATACCCTATACTGCAAGTTGTTGTTACAATCCTCATTTTATGGATGAGGTACCTGAGGCAAAGAAAGGTGAGTAACTTGCCCAGGGTCACTTGGCTAGGGAGTGGGTGGAGCTAGGGTTTGAACTTGTGCGCTAAACCACTGTACTGCTCTAGGAATAAGGGGTTTGGCATCTGCCTCTTTGTTTCATTGAGGATCTTTGGCAGGTTCCTCTGGAAGACTTTCTTTTCCAACCTATCAGAATTAGGGCTCTCAGAAGGCTACGTGGACTTACATGGGTGGCCTTGAGGAGGGCCTGCTCCTTGGGGTTCTTCACTGCCTTGGTGATCATCACTGGGGAGTAGATATCTTCTAGAAGTTTCTCCTGTGAGGGAAAGGGAAGAGGAGGAAGTCTGGGAGCACCTCTAGGGCACAGTGGTGTGTCCAAAGAGCTGGCAGGAAGTCCCAGCTGAGGCGATGGCCTCTCCTCTGTGCATTTTTTAGCCGTGCAAGTCTTTCCTAATCGTCCATGTCCAGCTTAACCCTTCCTCCCTCCAGGAAGGCTTCCTTAATTGTCGCTGCTCTGCTTGGTGGCTTACTCCCTGCCCCTGAATCCCACCAGCTCTCTGGGATGGATCAGGGCCCAGCCTGCATTAGCTGATGGACCATTCCAACCGATACATTTCCTGTACACATTATAACTAAGCACCATTTACTGAGGGCCCGCTGTGTGTCAGCCCCTGGGCTTCAAATGCCCTGTCTCCTTCAAATGCCGGAGAAACTCTTGTGAGGTTGGGACTCTTACGGCCATTTTTCAGGTATGAAAAAGAAACCCAGACTGGTTAAGACATGGGTGTAAGGTCATTGCACCGCCAGGTAGGGGCAGAGCTGGGTTTCCATGTCTTTTGTTAGAACTAGGCCGCACTCTCTAGCCTCCCTGCCAGTAAGCTCCCTGTGGACATCCCCACTTCTTCCTCTTCTGTTTCTTCCTAGGGAGGCCAAGGAGGGGACTTTGTCCAAATGTGTTGACTAACCAACTGACTGAATGACTGAGGGGCATTGGCCCCACTTTGGGTTGAGACTTATCGGGCCTAGATTTGGGGGGTGATGCCTGGCATGGGCTGGAGTCTGGCAAACTCACCTTAGGTATCACTTCATAGAGCCCGTACGTGGTGTAGCTGGTCCCAATCCAGATCTTCACGTCTCCCAGGATGTAGTTCTGGATGTGGTCACGCACTTGGCTGTAATCCTTGAGTTGCACACACATGGGGCCCGTGCAGCTGGAGTCCAGGTACTGCAGGGTCTCCAAGGGAAAGCGACTTTTGTTTGCAAACAACCTGGGTGGGAAGGGAAGACCTGGAGGTTCTGGAGTGTCTGCTAAGGGCAGCGCACAGGGCCAGAGGCAAACGCAGTCCCTTTGTTCCTGGAGGTCAGAGATGCCAGTCAGCACTGGGGAGCCAGGCAAATCAGATTTGGGACTCCAGAGGAACCGAGGTCAAGGGATCAGGGAAAGCCAACAGGCGGCCTCGTAGAGGATCCTGCCGGGGCAGTGGTGGGGCAGGGAGGGGGTGGGAACTGGAGGAAGTCTAGGACACAAGCCTAGGAAAAGCCGTACCAGATGGAGGAGTCCGTGAGCAGCGTGTAGGAGTAGAAGAAAGGGTTATAGGGGATGTCATTGCTGCGAAGGTTGAAGAGCCCTGAGGAAGAGAATCGGCCCGGACCATTGGAGGCTGATCTGCTCACGGCAAGCATCTCTGCCACCTTTGCCCCACTGTTCATTTCGGCCCCCAAAGATTACCAGCAGCACACCTGTATCACTTGTCTCCGAGTGTGTCTCAACCTTTTGAGGGGGGGTGGGTTGAGATGCTGCTGAGAATTATGGACCTTTCCCCCCTAAAATGTCAGCCCACAGTACCAGTGAGTTCCTGGACTATGTGAAGCCCAGTCATGGGGATTAGGCAAGAAGCCCTGAGCCACATTGGGACAGAAGAAGGTGACGCTGGGTGCTAAAGCTGGGAGTATGCGGGCCCTGGACTAGTGACCAGCTTGTCAGGAGGCAGTGGCTTGTCTTCTTCTCCTTAATAAGACAGGAGCAGTTTGCCCCTGTGTCATCCCATTCTCTGCTGGCCACAACTTGCTCAGGCTCCCGGTCGGTCACCTTATGCTGCAGACACGAGCTCCTGCCCTCTCCCCCCTCTCATCTCCCACAGGCCATGGCCATGGAAGAAGCAGTCAGCACACAATGGCCCGGGCTGCAGGACCCAGGAGGCTTGTGGGAAGGAACCAGGCACCCGCTCGTGCCTGCACACTCACAGGCTGTCTCATCTAGCGCTGACAGCAGGACGGCAGTTGGGGCCTGGGGATGGTTCTGCATCTGGCTTCGGATGTCGGATACTTTCTGCTGCCAAGTGTTCCCTAGAAGCAAAGGACCCCAAAGAAAGCATAAGCAGCACACCTCACCTTTGGCACTTGGTTCCTGGGAGAGCTCCATCAGGGTCATCATTTTCCATTGGTTTAAAAAGCAGTAGAGGTGGACCAGCCCCAAAGTGCAGAGAGTAATGCTATGCAGAAGGAGCCAGGTTGCACATGGCCGACCGCTGATTGAATTCTGGTTCAAGCGGCGTGAAAAACATGCTAGGCACATGTGCGTGTGCCCAGGATCCTGAAGGGGTGAAGAAATGGAGAAAAAGGGGACTGCGGCATGGCCAGTCCCCACTGGGGGATGCAGCAAAGAGAAAGCAGCAGGGGGCGGGAAGGTGGTGCAGGGGTAAAACACAATACTCTGCAAAGCTGACTCAGATTGGGAAGGTTCTAAGTTTGCATTTGGAGATCTCCCTGAGTATGCCAGGCACACCCATGACCCAGGACTGGCTGACGCTGGGGGCAGATCATGGCATCAAGACCCATTGGGGAGACCAGCAGTTGGCGTAATGGCTATGTCAATGGACTCCCATGTAGTCGACTGTAGTTCAAGCCCCGGACCCAGTGGCTTAATCACGCCAGGCACATGTGCGTGCATGCCCAAGATCCCGAGAGGAGAATGGAGGAGAAGGGATTGTGGCGTGGCCATCCCCCCTGGGGGGTGATTTCTCGCTTTCTGTCTCTCTGTCTCTCTCTATCTGTCTGGTGAGCGCACGCGCCCTATAGTGAAAACCTCTCCAAAAAAAGAAAACAGACAAAAACAAAACAAAAGACCCATTGGGGATGCTCATGCTCTATCACTCTCGTTTCTCTCTCATGGAAGAAATGGATAAATAAGCTTTAAAAACTTATTAAAAGCAGTGGAACCTTTTTGGGACCAATAGATGGTGTAATGGTTATGTTGCTGGACTCCCACATGGTCGACCGTGGTTCAAGTCCCAGACCCAGAGGCTTGAAATTCATGCCAGGGGGGACTAGCAGTTGGTGTAATGACTATGTTGTTGGACTCCCGTGTAGTCAACCGCAGTTCAAGTCCTAGACCCGGTGGCTTGAACTCACGCCGGGCGCGGGTTTTTTTTTGCCCAAATTCCAAGAGGAGAATGGAGGAGAAGGGATTGTGGCATTACTATCCCCTCTGGAGGGTGATTTCTCACTTTCTGTCTCTCTGTTTCTCTATCTCTCCAGCGAGTGCACGCACCCTATAGCAAAAATCTCTCTCTCTCCAAAAAAAAAAAGGCAGTATAACCACCCCTTCTTCAAACAGATTCTTACTCATGTGGTCATTAATGACATGGGCTCTGGACCCAGACGGAACTCAAACTGGCTTTGCCTATACTAATAGGGTGACCTTGGACAAATTACTCAGTCCCTCTGTGTCTCATTCTGTTCAGCTCTAAAATGGGTGTGGGTTACAACACTAGTGCGTTCATTAGGAGGGTTGCTCTGATGATCAGATTCATTTGCATTCATGAAGCACAGAAGATGCTGTCAGCTTATAGTAAGTCTGGAGCAATTTCTGCATTGATAAATGAGTACGCAGAACAGAGACCAGGAGTCCCGGCCTCTCCCCTGCAGCAACCCCAGGATGTACTCAGCTATGGATGCTGGGCTAAGCACTTCATGCACATTGTTTTAAGTCTTACTTGCCCCTTTTACAAATAAGGAAACTGAGGCCTCAGGGAGGTAAGGTGACTGTTTAGTTTCATCTCTGTAAGGGGTGGACCTGGAATTGGTACCCAGGTCTGTCTGGCTGTATGGTCCACATTCTTTATCTGTGTAGACAGTCTCATCTTGCCAACATTGTCAGCCTCCAAACTGGTTCTTAAGCTTTGAGTCACAGCACTGTCCTTTGCAGGATGCTAGCGTCTGGGTCTTAGGCTTTCGATTTTTGTCTCCTGTCCCTGCCTCCCTACAAGGCATACAAAGACTCTGTCCCTACGTGTGACTAGGAATTGGCTGGCAAGAAGCCATTAGCATTAAGGGTCCTTGTTGGGTCCAGATAAGAGCATAAATGATAACTGAATGACATTACACAAAGCTTTATACAGACAGGCAAAGTATTCAACAAGAACTTAAGTTTCTGGAAACAGCAGATGGCATAATGGCTATGTCGCTGGACTCACACGTGGTCAACCATAGTTCGAGTCCTGGACCTAGCAGCTTAAACTCATGCTGGGTGAGTGTGCATGTGTGCTCAAGATCCCGAGAGGAGAATGGAGGAGAAGAGATTGCAGTGTGACCATCCCCCCGAGGGGTGATTTCTCGCTTTCTGTCTCTCTGTCTCTCTCCGTCTTTCTGGCGAGCGCATGCGCCCTATTAGCAAAAACCTCTAAAAAAAGAAAAAAGCTATACGGCATGTGCGCTCACCAGAGAGACAGAGAGAGAAAGAGAAAGTGTCCCCGGGGGCAGGGGGTGGACACTTCGCAATCCCTTCTGCATTCTCCTCTTGAGATTTTAGGCACACACGTACACATGCCTGGCGTGTTTTTCAAGCCACTGGGTCCAGCACTCGAACCATAGGGTCGGCTACATGGGATCCAGGTATCTTAACCTCCACACCATCTGCGGGACGATGATACATCTTTTTTTTTTTTTTTAAGAGGTTTTTGCTATAGGGCGCATGTGCTCGCCAGCCAGACAGAGACAGAGACAGAGAGACAGAAAGCGAGAAGTCACCCCCCAGGGGGATGGTCACGCCGCAACCCCTTCTCCTCCATTCTCCTCTTGGGATCTTGGGCACGCACGCACACGTGCCCAGCGTGAGTTTTAAGCCACTGGGTCCGGGACGTGAACTGCGGTCGACTACGTGGGAGTCCAGTGACACAGCCATTATGCTAACTGCTGGTCTCGATGATAGATCTTTTTATGTCTATTTTATTGTGCTAAAATATACAAAACAGAAGAAAACGATCATTTTTGCATTCTGAAAGTGCAGAATTCAGTGTCTTTAAATATGTTTGCAATGTTGCGTAACTATCACCACCGTCTAATTCTAGGACATTTTCATCATCTCTAAAGGACACCCTGGACCAGTTAAGTGGTCACTTCCCATCTGCCCTCCACCCCATCCTCCCCACAGCCCCAGGAATCCTCTAATCTAGTTCCCGTCTCTATGGATTTGCTAATGCTGGATGTGTCACACAAATGGAATCCTATTATACGATATGTGACCTTTTCTGACTGGCTTCTTTCACTTAGAATTATGTTTTCAAGGTTCATGAATATGATACACTTTTGAGCAAACAAATGAAACTGAATTTATTTCCTTTCTTCTTTTCATTTCTAACTTCCAGAAGAAACATGAGCTTGCCAGACAAAGAGCGACAGAGAGAAAGAGAGAGAGAGAGGGAGAAATCGCCCCCAATGGGGTGTGGTGAAGCCACAATTCCTTCTCTATTTCTCCATCCTGCTAGGATCCTGGGCGCGTACACACGCATGCCTGGTGCGCTTTCCTTCTCTCTTTCTCTTTCTCTTTCTTTCTTTTTTGTCTGAGAGAGAATTTTACTATAGGGTATGTTTACTTGCCAGAGAGACAGAGAGAGAGACAGAGAGATAGAAAGTGAGAAATCACCCCCCAGGGGGGATGATCACACCGCAATCCCTTCTCCTCCATTCTCTTCCCAGGATCTTGGGCACTCACGCATGCGTGCCTGGCATAATTTTGAAGTCACTGGATCTGGGACTTGAACCATAGCCAGTCAATGTGGGAGTCCAGTGATGTAACTGCTATGCCATCTGCTGGTCCCCCTGTTGTGTTTTTCAAGTCTTGGATTCAAGTGGTGGTGAACCATGCGATATTTGCCTTCCTTAACCACTAGGCTACAGAGCTGGCCCATATAATAGCAAACTTTGGTAATCTGATGCCCGTAGATATCTTTGAGTAGCTCACTTTTCATGCTCTGCCCTTTGCACTGCCTCTACTTGCTAGCGGCTAGAGAGGAGGTCTTCCTCATCTCTACAAGTGTATTGAATCTAGAGGCCATTCTTGGAATTCCAAGCCCAGATCTGGCTCCAAACAGCTTTTTCTAGAAGACTAACCACCTATGATAGCTGCCAGATCAGTATCCATCACTTGTAGGAAGTGATGAAACCCATGCAAACTACTCTCCCAGTTCCTGGAAGGTTCTCCTCTTTCTCCCCTCCTCTTATTGGCGGAACTGCAACCTTATTTGTCTGGATGAGATGAGTTTCATTGATGAATGAACAGCCTTGGAGAGCAAGTTTCTTTAAAACCCATGTCAAGCTTCCAAAGGAATGATTCTGCAAATTACATCAGGACGACGGATAAAGGTGATTGACACAATTTACACTTGTTTCATCATAGCTGCTATTGAAATTTCCCTCCTACTATTTTGTCTCCTTTCCAAAGAAAAGTACATGGACTCATGTCTGGAAAAGGGTCTCAAGATTGCCCAACATTACTAGGAATCTAAACCCATTGACACATTCAGAATTCCGGGGGAGGTAGGGGTGGTTGGTGACCAAGACACTGATTCATAATCAATAGCCTGGTCCTGCTTAGGATTTTAGTTATGCCTTACAAGAATCACAGAGCATACTGTTCTTTCATGACATATTTAGATGGTGTCAACATGGTCAAGGGGTTTCTTTAAGAGAGATTTTTGCTATAGGGTGTGTGCACTTGTCAGAGAGACAGAGAGAGACAGAGAGACAGAAAGCGAGAAATCGCTCCCTGGAGGGATGGCCATGCTGCAATCCCTTCTCCTCTTTCTCCTCTTGGGATCTTGGGCACACATGCACATGCGCCTGGCGTGCGTTTTAAGCTGCTGGGTTTGGGACTTAAACTGCAGTCGACTACGTGGGAATCCAGTGATGTAACCATTACGCCATCTGCTGGTCCCAATTCTAGCATTTTCTAAATAGAGTCTAAGGACCTTTTGACTCAGATTTCCTGAGGGAAGGGGGCCCAGAAATCTTCGTTAAAAACAATTTTGCCGGAAAGTACATGAACTTGCCTGAGAGAGAGAGAGAGAGAGACAGAAAGAGAGGTAGAGGAAGAAGACAAAGTACTCCCTCGGGAAATGGTCACACTGCAATTCCTTCTCCATCTCTCCCTCCTTCAGGATTTTGGGTACACACGCACATGCGCCCTTTGTTTTTCAAGTCACTGGGTCCAGGATTCATATCACATGGTCAACCATATGGGATCCAGCTACCTTAACCACTGGGCATGGGCTGGTCCAAAATCTGCATTGTGAACACGCATCCCTGGCAATTTGAGTGCATGCTATGGTTTGAGACCATTGCTTTGGTATGTCTGATGGTGAAAATCAGCCAAAGGAGCAACAGCAGACTCGTGTTGCTGCAAGTTGATAAGAAGCATGGGCTTAAGAGTCACCTGTGAACTCCTCCTGCAGGGCATAGATGGATTGGCTTGGAATCAGGGGCCTCTCCGATCCCCATACCACGTCTACAAGGTTGGTCATGATGGACACCAGTTGTAAGTCAGAGCCTTGGAAGGCTGTGTTATACCTCTCCCAGGAGTCTGTGGAGACAGGAAGAAGTCACTTGTCCCTTACCCATTTATACCTCAAGGAAAATCGTGATTCAAGCAAAGCGAGTCCTTGTCCTCTTTGCCTCCCTTTCTGCTCCTGTAGGCCCAGTTGCCTTCAACCGGCCCCAGCAGTCTGGTCCTTCTGGAATGCATGCCTCACCCTCCTCTTTCTGCTTTCCAAGTGTAAGTGCCCTGTGCCCACACCAGTACTGGTTACCACCAATTGGCTAAGGTCACCCTTTTAAGTACCAGTCGCTGTGGGTATGCACTCTGTTGCATACTACCCATTTTAATAGGGCTTTAATGCCACAGCCCAAAGGGATAGTGATGGCCATTGGGTAGGCTGGCAAAGAAGTCAGTTTGGAAGTGGTAGCTTTTCTGTGCATATCTATGAGAACTCCAGCTTGGGCGCACAGGTTGGCCAGCTGGCTGTGACCCTGAAATTGAGACCTCTGTCTCCAGGGCCCCATTTTTACTCAGAGGTCCTCCTAACTCCTTCAATCCTTTCAAGTTACTTCCCAGAAGAGGGTTACCAAGTGATTCTAGAACCATAATTGATAGAGTTCTAGGGCACAGAGGATGGTCTGGGTTCAAGGATAGCCTAGCCTATCCACTAGCTCTTTCTCTTTCTTCCTTATTTTAGAGACAGGGTCTCACTGTGTTGCCCAGGTTGGCCTCAAACTCACAATCCCCTTGCTGCAGCCTCTCAAGTAGCTGGGACTACAGGTGCATGCCACTGCATCAGCCCTCATCTGCTAGAGCTTAATGACTTCCCGAGTCTTCTTGGTGGTGTCTCAGCACTCGTGAAGTTAAAAATAGTTGTATTCATTCTTTTAACTATATATTTAATCACACGATCCTTGAATATGTCCTTGTTGCAAAATATTCCACAACCACAACTTCAAACGCTCTAGCTCTATAGTCATGACTATTACATCCAGCCTAGTCCCCCTCACTGGTATGGACAAATCCAGGGGCTGAGGATGGAGCATACCAATGGAGAAGAGGAAGGGGTCAAAGCCCACACGCCCTCCAGCAGGAACCTCTGAGAGGAGCCAGGTGACAATGAGAGTGGTGCCAACTGAAAGAAAGATAGGGAGAAATGCAGAGGTCACCACCAGGGCCTGTCCCAGGCCCACCAGCCAGTCTTCTGTTTGTGCCAGTTCTGCCATGTACGTTCTCCTTGATATCATCCTTGGAGATCAGGGATGGCCTCCAATGTCCCAAGCTTCACATAGGGACCAGCATATAGCCCTCATGCATACTTTTCTGAACCCAGTCCAGGTTCCAGGGCTTGGGGAGCGGGGGGAATCTATGTGGCCCTTCTACCTTCCTTATGGAGCTCCCAATTGCAGTCCATCTGCCTCTCAGCTTGAGTCCAGTAGCGGCTGTCAGTCCAGAGGGCTGCCCTCCTCATGGTCACCACTGCAATCCCTGGGGCAGAACAGAGAAACTTGGAGGTGAAGGTGAATGATAGGAGCATGGCTTTAGCTGGTGGGTGAGCATTACAGTGCTAGCTCTGAGAATGTAAGAAGGAACCCCTGAGAAGAGTGTCTCCTCCACTGGAAGGAAGTGAGGCGAGAGATGGTAAAG